TCACACACTCGCTTTCTATCCCTATCTGCTAGCGCAATGCTACACAGAGTGCGATTAAATCGTTAATCATCGTCGTGATTATCTCGCAGTGATCAGTCACATTTCAGCCGAAAACTGTACACGCATACGATCAACAGACACGTTCTTTCACACACTCTGGTCTCCTTAGTTGCTCATTCGTACTCGCTTGGTTGTTCTTACAACGCGCCCGCCTCCTTGCCTTATTACAATTACACATTATACATTTACATATCGATTCCGGGGGTAGCCAGGTAGAGGATATAGTAATAACATAACTGTAGCTCCTTATTACAGTCTCTGTACTGTCTCTACGTATCACAGCCTGGGTGCCTCGCCACTGCCTTCTTCCTGACTCTTTTCTTCTTCTTCTTTTTTTTTTACTTTTATTTTTTTTTTTTCTTTTCTCCTTTCGTTTCCGTTTTTTCATTATCTATGCCTCGTCATTCCTCCGCGTCTAGCTCCAAAACTAGCACTGCCCAAAAACTAGGCTCTCATGCGGCCTACTCTCACGAGGCCGGTGCAGAGCGTAGAGATAGGTGAGAAGCGAATTCTGAACAAGCCGATGCTGCTCAAAGACATCGGTGGTCTACTATTCAGGCAGTGGCATGGTGGTGCACTAGTACAGGAGGTTCTCCACGTCCACGGTCCACGTCTGTCGATGACGCTGCGCTCTGTCAGCCTCGTCGTCGTGCCGGACGCCGCGCGGAATCGCGATGAAAAAAACAACACTGTTAGCCGACGGTGATCGGCCACGGGGGAACTAGGGTGTCACGTCCCAGATCTCGGCGAGGAATAGTGGCAGCTTTTTGTTCTTGAACTTCAGACTGAAGCACATCTCGCTGTTCTGGTTGCCGAGTGTTCGCAGCTCGGTCAACACCGACAGAAGCTTCGCGAAGATCGTGCCGGACTTGGGCCTGCGCCTGTTGTCCACGTACGCCTTCAACGCCTCCAGATAGATCTCTTGGATCTTCTCGACCTTCCAGCCTTCAAGCAGGTTCGGCCTCTCTGTAGAAAGAAAACAGGGGGATTCTTTTCTTTGTAGGCTGGCCCCGTGGTATTCGTGAGATCGACTGATGAGGCTGGTGGGTTAGGTTAGTTGTGTTTATTGCATGAGTTATTAGAGCCTTGATGATATCCCTAATGAATCCTGAGTAATGTGTGTAGGAACCGACTACGCAATCTTTCGTGAATCATAATTTCTGATGTTTCGACGACGTTCGATATCGACGTGAGAGGAGATCGATGCTGTTCCAAAGTTCGAATAGCTGGAGATGATTCACTTACCTGAGAATATAACGATGGCCGTCAGCAACGCGTACTCGGCGTTGTTCACTTTCATGGCGTACATTTGCCGGCAGAAGTGTAGTAAATCCTCGATCGTCTCGCCCATGCCTGCCACGTTGTAGCTGTCCCTGGTGTAAGGCTGATTGTTGGCGAATATTATGCTATCCGTTTGTACGTCGTACTTCCTCGCCATTCGAAGCATCATCACCTCGCTGGAGCAGGCTTTCAGCAGGGCGATCTGATCCTCGCGCATCAGCTCGTCGAAGCCGGGTAACCTCTTCGAGAACTCGACGATCAACTGCACCGTCAGGATTGTGATCTCGGTGATGTGCCTGAACTTGTAGTCACTGATATCCTCTCCCTCTGAGGGCTGATGCTGCCACAAAATAGAAAAATATCGTCGTCACAGTTGCTCGTTCACTCGTTTATCGAGAACTTCTCGCGCGAAAAGGGATACTAAAACGCAGTGCTTTCGCAACGTGAACTGCACTCACAGTGATCCTCTTGAGATCCTCCTCACTGGGTTGCTCGTACTCGTTCTGGAAATACACGAGCCTATGTATCAGCTCCTCCTGCTCCGGACTGATCGGCTTCACGTAGCCGTAGGGGCTGACCGGCGTTAGAATGCCGCTGCTACCAGACGTGGACAACGATTCTGCTTCCGCTGGTTCGATCTTCACGCCCATCTGGTCGCTGCGTATCCCACTGCCTGGGGAACCGTTCATCGTTGTACTGTTCGGTTTGTCCTTCTCCTAGAACAGAGAGTCGCGTGATTTTTATTATTATCATCATTTAAGAAAAAGCATCCTTCAATCGCTAACTAAATATGCGTGTCAAAGATCGTAGAATTTCCTTGAACAAAAAGAAAAAGAAAAATTCCCCAAAAATATACTTATCGGCACGAGTAGAAATATCTCCTTTTTGATCCACGCCATTTCATCTACGACGATTTGAATATCGTTTGACGACAAATTATCAACGGCCTACCTTCTGCGCTTTCTTCTCCTTGCGCTTGACAGCACACTGGTACTCGGGCACGACGCACTCAGGCCTCATGCCCACTGTCAGACACTTCTTCAGCCTACATTCCTGGCACTTGCGCCGCATGTACATGTCAATCTCGCAATTGTTCCCGTATTTACACTGGTACACCGCGTTCTTCGTGATGCTGCGCCGGAAGAAGCCCTTGCAGCCCTCGCAGGTCAACGCGTTGTAGTGGTAGCCGGAGGCACGGTCACCGCACACCAGGCACAGCTCCTCCTGCTGCCTCGGGGTCGGCCCTTTTTTCTTCCTGGCGTCACAGCCGTCGCTGCCACCACCCCCGCCGCCTCCTCCGCCTCCTCCACCTCCGCCTCCGCCGCTTCCATAGCCGTTCAAAGAGCCAGGCTGCGACAGCTCGTCCCTACCTGCACGCACAAATTTGGGAGAGAAAAAAAAAAGTATTAGAAACGAGTCTTTTACTCTGTGATGTCAGATGTTTGACTGATCAATGAAAATTTTGATTCCTCGGTGAGATTCTTTTACTGTGTGAGAATTCTGGTCTTTTGAGATTCGAGTTGCCACACGTGAAAATCCTGGTCCTATTTCTGTGCAGCTTGCACAGACTCTGAGGCTTTATTTGAACATGTGTTACATATTGGCTTAATGCTCAAAAATATTTGGATACCGGGGGTGACATGATGCTCCTGTTGCCCTATATTCCGATCTCCTCTGCGTTCCGAAAATAAATGAATCTTCAAGTTTCCAATGAACTTGTTGGATATATTGTTTCTAATTCCTAGGAATCTTTTTAGTTTTGATTCCCTTAAGCGAACTTAGTGAAAAGAGAGAACATTGCCAGTATCTTGAAATACCCAAGCATTTAAAAAAAAAAATATCAATCATTCAGAAAGCAAATCCAAATTTATTATCTATTTATTTAATATCAAAATTGACTGTCCAAAATCATTTCCCAAAAATTCCAAGAACCAAGATCTGGACCAAGATCTGCAAAAGGCAAAAAACCGAGGGAAATATATCACGGTTCTGAAGCAAGTTGACGAAGACGTTTCGAAACGATTCGAGTCGTCGTCGACGAGTTGCTCGCGAGGTTTCCGGCGATTACTCGGCGCGTTACGCCGCGGCCGGTGCACGCGTGTAACGCCTGCGACTCGCAAGCGGGTTCCAGTAACCTACGTGGCGACGATCGCCTCTATTACCCCCTTTATCCGTGAAACACGTCGAATGGAACGCCGCGCGGTAGAAGTCACGGTCGGTGAAAGTACGCGGCGAAGCTTTGCACGCGTGCGCCATCCTCCAGCGAGGCGGAATCGAGCGCCGCGTGGCTTCTGTTTCAACGGGGA